TGTCCAACATTTTTATTTAAACAAATGTCTTGACTGGGGATATCTATATTGGGTTAACCAAAATCTGCTGTAAATGAAATCTATATGCCACCATTGATCATCTCCTTCTGAAAACATGAGTCCCCTAGCTGACTTAGGCTTCAATACCTTAAGTTATTGACCCAAAACGGATATGTGACCAGTGAAGTCCAACTAGTATGATATCTTTGTCTTGTTTCATGTCAGTGACATAAAGTACTGGAGCTTGATTATCACCATGATGGCCACACCAAGCAGATCATATGCAGATCTTTTAATGTAAAGGTTGTTTGGTTCTGCTCATTTCTGCCACCCAATCAAACCTATTAGTCTGTAAAGCTAACCATCATATTAAGGGACCCATGGGAGGTGGAAGGGGTGCAGCCAGTAATCAAACGTTTATGGGAAAGTCAATATTTGCATACAGATTCAGCTGCCTAGATCTCTGGCACTACTGATCATTTGGATATGCCGTTTTCATTGACTTTAAGCTTTACATATGTATTTTCTCCTACATGTGCTCAGTTTGTCTGGTTTGTAACCAGGTAATTGTCCGTCCACTCTAGGCTTGGCTTGGACGTCATTAAAAATCATATAAAACTTTGGTTTCTTTACCTGGTTATCAAACCTGTCAAAGTACACACACAAACCAGAGTCTGCCGTGAGAGGCATGGACTAGTCTGGACTGATTGGATCAGAATACACTGCATATCTGTCCCCTGCAGTCCTTGAACTTGCTTCATTGATGACAAGAATGTATATTGAATGACTGGAGCACAAAGATGGTGTATGTGTACCTATGTGTTAAAGATAATGGTGTTTGCTGCTTTTGGAACTGACAATGTGCATACAAAGCTCCGGCATTACTTTGAAGTTCAGGTTAGAGACGTTCACTCAACCAGCTCATACTTTTGAAAAGCTAAACTGTTTGTACGTGGTTACTCTTGTGTCTTCTTGTTTGTACAAGCTCATACATGCCTGAGTCTCTTTTTAATGAGGGAAAAGCTGAGTTTTCTTGGCGTAATTCTGTATCCTTACTTGTGTACTTTTATTAAAAAAATAAATGTATCTATCTGTGTTGTGTTTTAGTTTGCTCGTGCCTTTCAATACCTAGGCGTTTTTCAGCACTGATCAAAGCGCTGGAAAACGCTCAAACAGTGAAATCTCATACTTTCCTATGGGGATGGTTTCCACTGGGGCGTATTTCAGCCCATGGAAACGTGCTGAAAAACGCCCTACTCCCAAACAAGTACAGGAGCTTCTCTGGGGCGTTTTTCTGCACGTATCCATAGGTATTCCCGAGTGTGGCTTGGGGTTAACAAAGCGGTAACCCCGAACCACACTCTGGAATACAGCGTAGGACTTACCTTGTCCGCGATCCCCGCTGTGTGTCCTCCAGCCGCTGCCGACTTCCAGGTTCTGTCGATTGCGTGCCGCAGGGGGGCAGAACCGGCAAGAAGTTTGAAAGTTTAAAAAAAAAAAAAGATGGAGAAAATAAAGAAAAAAAAAAATCATACCGCCAGTGAGGTATAAAAACGAGCTTCGAACGCGCATTTCACTGAATGAAAAAGCGTGCTAAAAAACAAGCAGAAAAAACGCGCCTATGGTACGCCCAGGTGTGAACCCAGCCTTAGCGCACCAGTGCTATAGTGCGCCAAATGGTGCAGGTCTGAGTGCTCTGTACATGTAATATGCTGTGTTTTTAAAAAATAGTTCAGGTGCATGGAGGGCACGTTCAAAATGATTGGGCTGTCTTGAAGTTTTTATAAGGACACAAAATGTATTCCACTGCAATCCGTACACATTTTCACATGTTTTGTCTTTTTACAAATGCTGCAAGTACAGAAACAGTTGCTCTGCTATAAATCCAGTGTCTTCCCAACTTCCAGTATAGGCTGGCACCTGAAATCCAAGCAATGTTGTCAGCTCCACCTATCTTCTCTGCTGAACTACAACTTACTTGCCCCCTCTCCTCATCTCCTTCTAACAGAAGGGGAGGTGTTCTGTAATCTAACAGAAAATTCCAGCAGGCCTGAGAATACTGCTCGGCAATCCAGAGGCAAAATTGTTGGCTCAAAAAGGAAGTTGGGAACACAATGGATTTCTGTCCGGATCCATAAGTATTTTTCTGTACTTGCAGCAAGACCAAAACATTGTGAGAGGCTTATGTATTGCAGAGATGTACCGCGCTTTTCTTTTGCCACATTACATCACGTGCTTGATTTATTAACCATTTGCACAGCAATGCACATCACCTCGGAAGGAAAATGCCTTTCCCTGAAATCTCATGAGATTACAGATCTGCTGATGTACCCTTCCCAGGATGCAACGCCTGGGCACCATTACATCACTAATGCCCAAGAGGACCAGGAAGTGGAAAACCAATAACCAAGTAAAATGAAAATGTTTATTTAATGAATGTAAGATGATTTAAAATCCACATGCGTAGCTGTATGCTGAGGTGATTTTTTTTTTTAGTGACTGGGTAAAGGTCAGTTTTAAAGCCCATCTTGCCCCCATACTGCAAGGGTTAAGTGCTCATTAATGTCTAGGGGTATTGTGAAGAGGACTCTTACTTGCCTGATCCCTGCTCCCCTTGTGACTGGCACTCGCCTCTCTCCCCTCTGCTTTGGCTTGGGGACTGCCCCTCGGCATCCTCGCAAATAATACAGTGCTATGGGTCTAAGGCTGTTAACCCTTACAGTGTGGTGGGGCTCCATGGTAACCCACATTGCTAATTTATTTAAAGTGCGTGTAAACCTTAACCAACTTTTCTTATTTGCTCCCTTTTTGTCTATGATCTTCTGGCAAAAAATATTCTTAACCTTTGCAGTGGGGCTACCCCTGCACTGCAAGGGTTAGCTGCTCATTCTCTTCTAGGGATGAAAATAAGTTATACACACCTGAACCTTGACGCTGGCTGGCTGCTAGACAGGCTGCAGGGACCAATCTTCTCCTCTGCTTCAGCGATGGTATGTTCCTTGGTGTCCTCGTGTATTGGACCTGATGACTCGCAGGACCTTAGACTGCTGTAGCGGAGGGGCTGTAAGGAGGCAGGGACCGGTCTAGCAGCCAGACGGCTGCAAAGTTCAGGTATGTCTTCCTTTTTGTTTTGTTTTCTCCTTGTCCCATGATGAAAAAGAGCACTTAATCCTTGCACTGCAGGGATAGCTGCACTGTAACGGTTAAGATTATGGCTGCCCCGAGTTCTTCTTTAAATAGACATTATGTTATGCCTGTTTGATTAGTCCAAAA